AACAGTGACACATTTTCTTTTTTATTTCTTTTTCATTAAATCGATATAAGAGAAAAAAAACAATATTTTTCTTTCTGATATTTAAATGTGTTTCAGTCTATTATAGAATGAAAATATTCCTATGATTATCAAAATCGTCCTATAACATAAATGGACTGTTTATTTCTAGTTTTCATTTATATGAATAGATACGACAAACAACTGATTAGATAACTAACCTTCTTCGTCGGAGATAGATAGTCAACATCCCATGAAAAAAGAAGATTATATTGAAGATCATACAAATATAACAAAAAGAATTATTCTTATCAATCGATGAACAAGATATAGTTGTCAATAGGGAAAAAAGCAAATGTGATGATTATATGGATGTCGAAGAAGGTTATTCGCATGAATATATTGAGTAGTATTGACACATTGCCCTTTATTCTCTTCAAGCATCGTTTTACACATTGATTAGGAATAGGATCTTTTCGTTTAAAATGTTATTCGTCTGTTGCAGAACATTAAGTAACAGAAAATGACATTATAAAATTGCTTGAAATATTTTAGATTTATTTTGCAAATTTTCATTGATATGTGGAAAAAGACTTATTTGGTAAACGAGTAAGTATGATAGAACAATTTTATATTGGCGAATGTTAACATTGATGAATAAATTATTGTTGAATAGGTAAAAAGGATACCAGAGTTTATCGATAATAAAATTAAACAACCAATCGAATGAATAATCAATAGAAAATGAATATTTGTTTTCTCCGTTTAATTCAATCATTAAGTTAAAAAGAAAATATTCTACAAAAATGTTCATCGAAATGTAAATTTATGTTGAGTTTTTTCTTAATAGACATTTAAAAGAATATTTTCTCTCTTGTTCCAATGAAAAGAACAAAAGTGTTATTTTTCTTTCATTTTATTATTATTTTAAATCAATAATAAAAGAAATATGAAAAATACACAAACAAGTTTTTGCTCCTGATCAACGTTTACTTTTATTAATTTGTTTTATTTGATATTATTACTTTTATCAAAAACTTTTGATTTGATTGTCATGAACTAAATACTTCGACAATATTTATTTGTTTTATTTACTAACAAAAAGAATCATTTTTTCATTTTGTTTAATTATTGAATAATTCGACTTTAATAAATGATTATTTATGAATTAAATTATTTCATTTTTTAATAAAACCTGTTGATATATTTATATAAATCAAAGAAAATTTCTATTAATTCTAGTGTCTTTTTATTTATATATATAAACTTGCTTTTTTGATATAAACAATTTCGTATATATTATCTTTAATTAAAAATATTAAAATCATTCATCAAAAAGACATACCGATAGGATGTATTTTCGTTCGTCGCTTTCTGCATAGGTTATTCTATAACCTTTTCTCCTCTTTCATCACGTGGCTAGGCACGTGACTACCCAATCTTACTTAAACAATTTGGTGGTGACGTTCTTTCGTTAAAATGGGTAGGAAGTCATCTATTTCTCTGGAGAAAGATAGCCATAAAAATGGTGGTTATCATGAACATTCAAATAATCATCATCAACCGTCAACTTCGAATTTCTATCAGAAATCGCATGAATTATTAAATGATCAACATATTATTACGTATTACAATTCCACATTAATGCAACAATCAACTGTAGTTGTATCATCAAGATCAAAAACGCATGAGCAACCTGTTGAATCGGCAATATATCGTCGTCCCCACTCTTCATCAAATGATGAATTATCATAAAATGAAAAATTTATGAAAGATCCAAACACAAAACCGATTCACAACCATAAGCCTTCTCGATTAAATGTAAAACAGGTACAACAATCACAGACAACTACAGCAACTTTGGCAATATCTGCGAATAGTGCATACAGAACAAAAGTATATGGATCTATCACGATCGAAGCCGAACATTTTGCACAATCGAAATACCCATTTCCATCATTTATTATCGGCTTCTCAATACATAATATAAAGGAACAAGATGTGACAAATGATCTTCGTACACATTTGAAAGAGCAAGATCAACTTGATATTGCATTTGTGGCCTGCTGCCATTCAACAAATAAATACAGTAGTAATTAGATTGATATATTATTGTTCGTTAAAGATAGTTATTCTTTTGCACATTTGTACGACGATTCCAACTGGCCCACATTGATGAATGGACAAAACTCTAGTCGGCCATCTAAGCCATCAATTTTACCACATTTCTCCAACAAATTAACAACAAGTTATCCAAACGTAGTAAATATAATTCATATGAAAAATAGGAAACATGGCGATATAGAATTGATCAAAATTGAATTTCATAAACTTGAACAAATAAACATTATCTTATCCAAAGGCGAAATGCTGATCGGATCTCTATCACCCAGGCAGACAAACTTTTAAGAAAACGCGTTTAAACGCACAGAAATTGGTCTAAAATCCGCAAAAAGTGAACGTTTTTGGCTCACATTTGCGGTTCCCTACTGTGAGCCAAAAACATCCATTTTTCGCCCTTTTTGTGCGTTTAAACGCGTTTTCAGACAAGAAAGGCGTGTACACACATACAAAAAAGAGAAAAAAGTTGTCTTGTTTTCCCAACTCCAGAAACATTACTGTAATCATGATCATGCATCCCGAGTATGAGAAAATTACCACTTTTTCTCTTTTTTGTATGCGTGTACACGCGTTTCTTGTCTGAAAACGCGTTTAAACGCACAAAAAGGGCGAAAAATGGATGTTTTCGACTCATAGTCGGGAACCGCGAATGTGAGCCAAAAACGTTCACTTTTGGCGGATTTTAGGCCAATTTCTGTGCGTTTAAACGCGTTTTCTTAAAAGTTTGTCTGCTTGGGCAATGTAAGGAAAGTTAGCAGCCGATTCGAGTATTTCCCACAACGATTCGCCTGAGCGACTGAGCCACAAAAGAAAACTAATAAACCACCTAGAACTCCACGAGTTTTATCTAGCAATGCCATCAGATTCCACGAAACTTTACCTGGATCGCCAGAAAACCGAAAAGAATCTATAACGCCCATACAGACAAAGTAGCATTGTTCATCAAAACCATGACGATTTGCCTGAGTACATAAGCCATTGATGAATCATATATTAATCGATGTAGAGCTTCACATTCTATCGAATGGTGTAAAATTAATCGCGATAAAAGACTGTTATAGCCAACTAAATTCTGAGAAAACATCGAAAACCAGACTTGCGCAGGTAATACCTATGACGATTCGCCCAGAAGCTTGAGTCACCCTTAAAAACCATATCAAGCGATGCAGAATCGCGAGCTCTATCCACTACTGTATAAGTTGCATGGCTGAACATTAACTAGACGGGGTTATGACCCATAAAAACCTTGAAAACTTAGTAAAAAGGGCGATTCCTGACCACCAAATTTCCTGATGATTCGCTCAAGTACATAATCCACGGACGAATCATACATCATTTGATGCATACTTCAACGTTCTATCGAATGTTGTACTACGTGCTTGGCACAAAGCACATTGGATCAAAGTTTTACTGATACAAATCTTGAAAACCTAGCAAAACGTAGGATTTCAGACCACTACATCCCTTAACAATTCGTTCCGATATATAAGCCACTAACAAGTCATCCATCGTTTGATGCACAATTCGACACACTGTTGAATGATGTATGATTCATCAGTGAATTATGTGCTTGAGCGAATCATCATAGAATTTAATGACCATAGATCTCACGTTTTGCTAGGTTTTCAAGGTTATTATGGGTCACAGTTCCATCCCGTGTGCTTTGAGTCGTGCAAGTCATGCACCATTCTATAGTGCATGATTCGTCGGTAACTAATGTACCTCAACGAATCGTTAAGGGATATAGTGGTCGGACATCCTGGCATTTGATAGGTCTTCAAGGTTGTTATAGGGCAAATATCTCATGTAGTTGATCTTGAGCCGTGCAAGCTGTACGCCATTCAGTAGAGTGTCGAATTGTGCATCGTCATTGGATTTACTCATTAGGGCGTCCACCTTTTGCTAGCTTTCCAAAGTTTTATGCGTCAAAGTTAGGGTTGTATCGAGACTGAAAATTTCCTAATAAAGATGAAAATTTTTTTCTACCAAGAACTCACGAGGCTCTACGAAATTTTTGTGTAGAATTGCTTAGGTTGGTTTCATCCAGCTGTGGATACAACCGGACAGAGAGGCCTCGAAAGTACAATGCCGAATCTCGGTCACCCTCGGTCGAAAAATTAAAAAACTAAAATTTTGACCGAAATTGGGCGTTGTACTTTCGAGACCTCTGTGTCTGTTATATCCACAACCAGATGAAACTAACTTAAGGGATTCTAAGTAAAAATTTCACAGTCTCGGGGATTCTTTGTAGAGAAAAAGTCTCATCTTTGTTAGAGAATCTTCAGTCTTGGTACACCCCTAGTGAAAGTCGCATCTAATTGATGTTCAGTCGTGCAAGTTACGCAGTGTTGGATAGAGCTCGTAATTCTGCATTGCTTGATGTGGTTTTTAAGGGTAACTTACAGTGAGGGCCCAAAAAAGCATGCACTTTTTTATTTTTACATATAAACGAATAATAAGCATGTTTTTAAAATTTTCTCTTATATCTAATTTTGTAGAGCTTTTTTCGTTGATCATTTTGGTAAAAATTTTTTTTTTGATTTTCATTGAGTAATGACAATGTTATAGTCAAAATACTAAACACTGTAACATAAAGTAGGGAAAAAGTTTAGCACACTTTTAGTATTTGGCTAATTTTTACGGTATTTCACAACACCTGAAAGATGTTTTCTATACCATTCGATGCAGAATTTAATGAGCTACATTTTGGTAGAAAGTGCTTATATTTATATTATAGTTAATTAATTAATTAATAGTTAGATGGTAGTTAATTAGTAGTTAATTAATAAAATTTTGATTTGTTTTTAAATTCCAACTCCTTCACATGAAGAAGTATTAAAAACTGAACAAAACTCTATAATTACTATTTGGAAAACAACGAATTTAGTGAGGTTTTAGTATGATTTTCAGAGTATGTTCAGTTGTAATTAGATATAGTATTCATTATTTTTAATAACTTCAGTCATGAAATGACACATGAAATACGCGAAAATCGGGGCATTTTAAAGAGCATCATTTGCTCTTTCAAATGCCCTCGTTTTGCCGTCTCTGATATGTTGTTTAAA